AGTGCAGGCAGGAAGGCCATCCTACTTGGGGGCAGTCAGCTTACTGAGCCTGAGGCTCTGGTCTCTCTTGCTCCCTCATCCACAAAGAACTCAGAACTCACATGAGACTCTACACTAGCCAGCACATTTGTTTCTGCTCCATGTGGGTAACCTCCAGGGCTTCCTGTCCATGCATACACACACATACACAAAGCCTGGGATGCCAGCACTCCAGCTGGGCTCACTCAGGTGATGCCATGGGGCCTTCTAGATAAAGTCATCATCATTCATGACAACAAGTATGTCCAGTTCTCTTACCAGCACCCACTATGGGAACCAGGGTCCAGTACTCTTGTTGGTAACTCCTCCCACCTCCAACTCCTCACAGAAGGGCTGTTTGTGGGGCCCACATTCCCCTAGAATGACCTGTGCTTGAGAAGTCAGGTAGATGGACCTCAGGCCGGGGTGTATTTTTCCAGTGCCTCCTCTATTGACCTGCAATTACACTGTTTGCCCAGCTCCCCAAACCATTAACTCCCACCTCTAAGCAACCACATGTCAATTAATGGAGGGCCTGCTCAGAGCTCAAGGCTCCTGAACACAATTAAGCGTGACAGTCCACAAATAAGAAAGAACTGGAGAATTAATTAAGGCCTAAACAAATTAATTACCAGTCTCCAATCGATTCTGATGCCAGCACACATGCTTCTGGGCTCACCGTCTTTCCTAACATCTCCATGTATAAATAGAAACTGAGATTTCCCACATGATTGCCGTTCTAGACCAGGGGCACAGCAAGGCTCAGAGACCAGCTTGAGGGAGAGAAGAAGCTGCACAGAGCCTCCTCCTTGGCTCTTTGTGTATTCCAACACACATGCACACACACACACAATACACATATGATTGTGCACACAGACTCCAGGCTGACACACCAGGGATGAACTTGGAGGCAGAGCCTATTCCTAGTGGGACTCTGAATGACTCTGGACACCTCTGGACCATCTCCTTGACTCTCAGCTGCAGGGGTGAGGACTATCCAAGGGAGACTGAAATAGCCCTGGGCTGGGCCAGGGAGGCCTGGGTTTGTTCATCTCAGTGTAACTCTTGGCAATCTGTATTTGTTTATGCTTCTGTAAAATGGAGATGGTCTGTTCTGCCTTAGAGCCCTCACGGGGATAAGGAGTTGAACTGAGGTAGAACTGAGAGCAGTGTGGAGAGACAGCCATCTCTGTGTGCTGAGCTTTGCAAACTCCAGGAGGCATGCAACGACCACGAAGGGCCCAAGTGGGCCTGTTCTCACTCACCACTTCCAGATGAGGAGATTACAGGCAGAAGGGTGAGGGCAGCAGACTTGGGTGTGAAAACCAGGGGTCCTCATGCTGGGTGTCTCATGTATGTGGAGCTCGGTGAAGAGAAGGCACCTTCCACCTTCCACCTCCTACACCCCTGGAGCAGGGGACTCTGGGAGGAGCTGGGAAGAGTCACTCACTCCCAGGAGCCTCCGTATTCTCGGGAGCTTGAGATCCCAGTCTGTCCAGGAGGTGGGAGTTAGGATGTGACCTCTGAGCATAGGCCACAAAGGCCCCTCTTGTCATATGAAACATACCTCCCTCAACACACACACAACACCCCAGGCTTTGTATGGTCACTTCTACTTATATCCCAGGTACAATCATGGTTTGGTGAGTCCTATCTCCTCATCATACTAGGAGCCCAAGGGACAAAAGACTTTCTACAAGGTAAAGCACATCCTGAGCCAACTTTCCAGGGGCCTTAACATTGGCCTGGTGTACCGCAGTAGGACCTAGGCCATACTAACAAAGAGTCATGCTAACAGGTGTCCTGTCCTGGTCAGGTGGGGCCTGAGGCTATGGTGGAGGGAGGTCAAGTGCAGGGACTGGCCAGTGGTCTGGCTATGGGACATTTGAACTTCTAGTGAGTGAGAGACATGTCTCTCCTTCTTGTAAGACATTTTGTCAACATTAACCATGGAGTTAGTAGGTGCCCATTTGCAGATGGATCTGGGATGGACATTGGGAACCAAAGAGATGGAAGCCTGCATGTGGGGGAGGAAAGAACTAGGGCTGGGGGTGGACGGCAGGCAGGCACACAGCCAGAACTTGGGCAGGGAGCCTGCGGAAGCAGCCAGAAAGGGCCAGCTTCTTTCGGATCCGATGAGCCAGAGCTGTCAGGGCTGTGACCACGCTGTGGGCAGCTTGTGCAATCTGCCATCTCAACAGTGGCTGGGTGAGTGGGAGGGGCCTGAAGGCTCCTTCCTGATGGTAAAAGAAGTGGGGAGGGGGTCACAGGCTGGAACCTAAGGAGGGACAGGTCAGAAAGTCTCAGGTGGTGATGGCAGAAATGGTCAAAATCAAAACCAGGGAACCTCTACCCCTGAAGAGCCCCAGAGAGGTAAAGACTATTCCCAAAGTTGCACAGTAAGATGGTGACGAAGCAGGCCAGTACTGGGCCCCTGGCGGAGTTCTTATCTGAAGTTTGGCTCTGGGTACAGATTATATCTGCTCACATCCCAGATCCAGTCCAGTGCAGCTCAGAGCTGCCCACTTTCCAAGCAGCATTTGACCCTCTAGCCCCAAATGGTGAGGAATGCACCAGCAATGCTCGCTCAATTAGGCCCCTTAACAAAGTCAGATCTAAAGAGTTATTCCATTAATGGACCATGCCAGAAATAGCCGAGAGTTCATTAAAAGTGTTGAATTGCTACAGCAATTATCTGGGTCGGCTGAGGCTCAGCTGGGTGGTTGGTCCTGGGAGTTCATTAGCCTCTGGGCCATTGAGGAGGTGGGGCTGGCCAGTAATGATCTCCCACCTTCTCAAGGGGCCTTTTCAGGGGCTTCAAAGCTTTTTCCTATCAATGGGATTTCACCTATGGCCTCATTTAATTACCCCCCAGCTCTGGATCATAGGAAGGTAGGTAGGTAGGTATGGTGCCCCCATTTTACAGATGGGGAAACTGAGCCCCGAAGGTGAAGAGCCGGGTTGGACCATGAGCCTGAGTCTGGCTCTTGCCTCTTCAGACTAAGCCTCAGAAGCAGGGAGGTCACAGGAGCCCGCACCCCATCCTGGATCATATTTCATTGTTGTACTCTGGCATATGATGGGGCACTCCAGTGCTATCCTTCAAACACTTGTTTAAACTTCTCTTTTCTAAGTTTCATTTTTGGTGAATATATATATTCAACAATGGAGCTCTGGTAGCGTAGTGGTTACGAATCGGGCTGCGAACCTTAAGGTCAGCGGTTCGGAACTACCAGCCGCTCCGCAGGAGAAAGATGAGGCTTTGCCTCTACTCCCGTAAAGATTTACACCCTCGGAAACCCTGTACAGGGTTGCTATGGGTCTGAACCGACTCGACGGCACTTAACAACAACAACAACATATATTCAACAAAACATACACCCATTCAACAATTTCAGCATGTACAATTCAATGACAGTGGCTACATTCTTCATATTGTGTTACCATCTCCGGTGTGGTGCTGTGGGTTAATGCGCTGGACTGCAAAGCTGGTTTGAAGCACAAGGTCAGCAGTTCAAGCTCACCA